AAGAAAGCAGATGGCTCCTGGGACCAGCAGTTGGCATAATGGCTATGTTGCTGGACTACCATGTGGCTGATCACAGTTCACGTCCCGGACCCGGTGGCTTAAACTCACGCCGGGCATGTGTTTGTGCATTCCCAAGATCCCAAGAGGAGAATGGAGGAGAAGGGATTGCGGCACGGCCATCCCCCTGGGGGGTGATTTCTCACTGACTCTCTGTCTCTGTCTTTCTGGTGAGCACATGCACCCTATAGCAAAAACCTCTCCACCAAAAAAGCAGATGTTGCCTTTCACTCTTTGCTCTTGCCAAACTCATGAGTCCACATCCTAGCTCCAAAGACTGAGTGAGGAAGTTTTGTTTGCCCCATCACACAAAACAGGTTTCCAGTCGTGTAAGCAGGACAAGAGAAACTTACCCAAGTTTCTAAAAATGCAAATATACAGCAGGTGGCATCACCATGCCACCATGGCAGTTAAGGCGCTCGACTCCTACATGCCCGACTGTGGTTCAAGTCCTGGACCCAGTGGCTTGAAAATCATGCCAGGTGCATGTGCATGCATGCTCAAAATGCCAGGAGGAAAAGGAGGGAGAAAGGATTGTGGCGTGGCCATCCCCCTGGGAGGTGATTTCTCACTTTTTCTCCCGTCTCTCCGGCAAGCACATGCACCCTATGGCAAAATAAATGAAGTGATGAATTTTCTAAAAGAAAAAAATAACAATTACACTCCAGAGTGTGCTACTCAGAGCAAGGCAGGCTGCTGGGTGCCCAGCTCTGCACTGTGTGCACCGGCGGAAAGGGCCCGGCTCCAGCCAGGCATCCAGAGGGAAGACCGAGGCTGCGACTCTGGATCTGTACTCAAATATAGAGATTAAAAAATGCTAAAGAGAAAGAAAGAAAGGAGAGCACACAGCTGCCGTCCCCCAAACAGACCTCCCATCTGCCACCCACGATTTGCATGTCACCTTCTCCGGGCTCATTTGTACTTCATTAACTGCCATTGACTTAACAAGATTTATGCAAATGACACCACAGGAGCTCCCTAACTCCCACTGCAATCAAGTGATTATGTATGTACAACTCTCCACAGCAATGAAAAATTAATACGTGACAAGCCCACTCGCCGCCGAGCGGGGCCTCTGGCTTTTATTTTTCTTGCTTTGCTTTTTAATTTTTATTCCAACAGACCTTATCTCGTTAGCAAAAGGAAAGAACAGAACTCTGAACCAATCTTCTCCTGACCCCAAGACCGATGGTGAGGTGGGCCTGGCCTACAGGAGATGAGGTCATGGTCGGGGGAACAAGCCCAGGCCTCATTCTCCCTGAGACAGCTTCCATTCGGGGGGAGAAGGGAGAGGAGAAGGCACTGACTGTGATCCAGCCGGTGCCACCCCTGGGGAAGCCGAGTCTCCCACAAACGGGCAGGAACAGGGAAAGGAATAGGGGAGGGTCCTGGAACCGCGTGGTCTTTGAAACCCTGCCAAGGCTGCCTGCATGTCAAGGACCACCTCACCTCATCCTAAATCGCCAGTCCAG